CAAGGAAGCTTGTTTTTGCACTGAGAAGCAAACATTGACCTGTGTGGGCAAGAGGAAAGCTGTGATCAGGCTATTTCAAGTAGAAAAAATGAGTGAACTAAAATTATGAGTAAGTCTGCAGAACTAAAGAGACAAAGATGAACAAATATGTTTGAAATAATTGTTCTACCTTAAAACTGGAGAAGGATGTTATTATCACTTATGTAAGAATGTGTCATAAAAAAAGGAAAATTAAAATGGTGCTTGTAGCATATAATTTTTTTTCAGGTTTTCAGCCTGAATAATTTAAGATCCTAGTGAATCTCATGTTCCTGCTTTCTAGGTTTGTCGGCTGAGTCCATCCAGAAATATAATTAAGAGGTATATGATTGAGCTGTACAGAATCATGCAAGCAGCCGATAAGCTGATTGTGGAATTGTTCACCAAATATTGAAATGCAAGAACTAGGAAGTGCTCCATGCAACTGGGAAGAGATCAGTATAGAAACGGGCAGTGAGCTTTCAGAACGAGAGATTGCAGAGGCAGACAGTATCAGCAGAATCCAAATGACTAATTCATGGACCTCAGGACAAGAAGGAGCTGCTAAAAAGGGTGTACTGTCGAATATCCCAGGAGCAGATGTAGATGTAGCGTCATGTTTGCAGATGCTGAGGTGGTACCATGTCGATGCCTCTGAACGTAGCCCTGCCAGGAGCTCTGCCTAATACCGCCCCGCTGTCCCTCTGAGCACCTGCCTGGAGGGGCTGTTGGTCGGGCCCAGCAGGACATTTTTCATGTCCATGTATTCTAAGGTCTCTTCTTTCTTCTTCGGATAGATTCTGTGTCTCAAGGTAAATACCCTGATATTAACATCTTGATATTAACGTTGTACTCAAGAGACAAAATCACTTTTCCTGGCCATATTACACAAATACATTGCTTTTTCCCACTGGTGATTTGTCCTCTTCATCCACTCTAAATTAATCATACTCTCTTTCCTTCAGAGTTTTGTGTAAGACTAACCTGTTTTGTATAAGACTGTCTAATCTCTTTTCCTTTAATTTCTTCGGTTCTTCCACACTTTTAATAAATCCTTTTCTATTCATCTATTCATCTCCATTGCAAGAATTCTTTCCAACATGCTGTGCCTCTCTGGATGTCTATGTCCTGTGAGTCAGTGTGGCTTCCCAGGCCTGCAGAAAAGATGAGCAGTAGCTACAGCAGTGGGGGGAGGTATAAGGATTTTGAGTAGCTACAACAGACCCTGCCACATTCCTTGCTCTAGGGCCGATGCCAACCTCGTTGGAGAAATGCTCATACTCATATTAATGTTCTATGGCATGTGCTGTTTCTCCATCCATTCAGATTTTCTTCTAATCCCCATTTGATCAAATGAGATCTGCAACAGCTAAGTGGTATTAGAAGAAATTAGGCCATCAATTGGTTATTAGGCTGGAATGTATTTTGTATTCTATCATCTCTGCCCTCGGGGCGTCTCAGCACATTCCATGGCTGATCTTCTCTGAGTATGAGAGGGCTGGGTTTTAGGTGCTAAAAGATACATGTAGATACTGACTGAAATCTCTTTGAAAAAAATAGTTTTCTGCCTCACAGGAAACTAGAAATAGTAGCTAGATGTTTGTGGATACCCTGCTATTTATTATCCACTATGTACTGCTATCTACTTGTTCTGCTATCCCGCTATCTACCAGCTGCTATTTTTATGGGTCTTTTGGTCAAGGTGCTTTTGAAAAAAATATCTCCTAGCCCTTTTTTTTTTATGTAAATGGCTGCCGTTTCTGTGTATAGAAGCCTTTAAAGAAAGAAGTAGCACCAGTTCTTTAACGTTGGTGAGTTTTACTGAGAGATAAATAAATTTCCTTTATTTGCATCAGAATGCCCTCTGGAAACCTTATGTTTGTTATGTGTACTACACTGGATGATGCATTCTCTCCAGCATGCTCTGAAAATTAAAAATCTATTCCCAATTTTTACTATATAGCTTTGTTTGTTTGTTTGCTCATTTTATCCCCAATGCTTGGGGTTATGTAATGACTGTCTTTTTCATAGGCTTCCTAATTTCCTTCATTAATCTCTTTTTCAAAGAAAATAGATTTTAATCTGTGTATTTTTGTTACATGCTTAATCATGCAACCATGTTTTTGAGCAGGCTGAGTTATAGAGTCAGAATTATGGAAAAGCTGAGTTTGGAGCGCAGTGCTGGAGATTGTCTAGGTGACTCCACAACCTCTCTGGGCAACCTGTTCCCCTGTTCAATAAACCTCTAATATTATATATTATATATAATCAATTATTTATGTACATGAACAATTATATATAGTCAATTAAATAACCCAGAGCCTTTAACCTTTAAATGTTAACCCTTTTGAGTATGTGCAGTAAGGAAAGCAAGTCAGTGAGGCATCTGAAATCACTAGCTGGTTGTGGAAACCTTGACCAGTATAACTAGCTCTCTTGGATGACTGTGATGGTTGCAGTATCTACATGTTTTCAAAGGTGGAAGCCTGACTTACTTAGTACCATAACTGTAAATTAGCCCAGTTCTGACTCGGATGTTCCTCTTTTTTGGTGATTGAAGGGAAAGACAGTATGGAAAGAATTGAGCTTTCTTATTTCAGGTCACTCTAGTGCATTCTTGAAATGCCACCTTTTGCTGCTGGATGTTTGCCTTTTTGCCTCCTCACTGCCTTAACATGTTATATTGGATTTAGTGCAATAAAGAGTTAACTTAAATCAGTTGTTTGTAAAAGCTACTGCAAATAGTGTGAGTCACAGACAGACTTTTTTTTTCCAATGGCATTGTGCTTTGAGCCAACGCTGCGGAAGAACTGGCACGCCAGGAGTTGGGAAGAGACATGTCTGTGTTGTGCACACCCAACTTCCAAAGGAAGGCATTGGGGTATCAAATTTAACTGAATATGAAATAAAAAAGTGCCCAGAAGAAATAAAGGGTAGTGGACTCTATCCTTGGCCTAGAGGAGGTGGAGGGAGCTGGATGAGATGCATGGCCTCTCTGTCCCGTCATATCACAGTTGCTGAGTGCCTGCCCTAACATGACATGGCAGCTGGCACTCTTTAAACTGATGAATTGTTTATTTTTTGCTTGCTTTTGGTTGCTAGATTGACGTTACAGACCATATTCTTAGGCTGCTTTGTAAATTGCTTTGAGATGTTTTAGCATGATAAGGCGATGTAAAAATTGAAGTCATTATTACTATCTCCACCACCAGGGGAATAGGACAGCTGGTATTGATCTGTTAGAGACTAATTTCCATATTTTGGTATTACATTAAGCCATAGAATTCCTCTTGTTTACGACTTCAAAGAAAGTTTTCTCAATCAAAAGGTCATCCTCCATAGCATGAAGGAGTGCTTGAGAATCATGGAAGGGCAGAAAATGTACAAACACTGCCATTTTTTTTTATCTGACTAATAAATCTTGCTTTTTTAGTAGTGATATCCCAGTGTCTTGTGTTTGCACCATACAGAATTCCACAAAGCACTTTAAAGAATTGACCTGCTTATGAGTGAAATCTAATAGTGAAGGGGATACAATTGACTGCTGGCTTTGGGGCAAATATCTCTTTAAATCATTGGCATTTCATTTATCTTAAATTCTTTAATTAAAATAATGATGAAAATTCTGTGTCCGTATAGCTGTATTGCAAGGAAAGGAATTGAATACAGGTCTTATCGTGCCGTGTGGAATAATACCTTATGATGAGCTAACTTGCACCATTCATCCAAAATCCACAGCAATGGGTAGCACAGAAGCTGCTGTGTTGCAGAGGGAGTAACTGCTCCTCACTGTCCTATTCTGGTGTTAGAATACAGCTTGAGAAATCAAAGAAGAGATTGTTAATAATTAAACAAACTGGAGTCAAAACTAGAGGTGCTAAAAAATTGAGTGTATTTGAAAGAAAAAGAACCGAGCACAGTGCGATTTTCCCAGGCAGCATCCATGTAACTTTGGTGTGCTTTGCCAGTATTGGCCAGGGCGCCTTTGGATAAGCAAATGGTTGTACTGCAAGGTTGAGTGGAGAGCCCCAGGACATGCCTCCCTCTACTGGCTTAAACACCTCTGTTCTGAAAGCCAAAGAGTTTTGTTTTCCTTCCTGACATACAGCTCCCCTTCGTGTTTTAGTTCTCTCCTGGTCCAAGTACTTCCTTTGTCTTGGCTCAGGCAGTGTATTGCCTTCCTCCTCCTTGTTCCAAGCATGGAGGTGCCCAAGTGCCAAGCGATGGAGTCAGAGATCGGACCGCAGCATCAAGGCACTTTGGATTGATTTTTTAACATGTCTCTACAATATCTGTGGGACCAAAGCTCAATATTCTCCTAATAGAAAAGATAAATTATGAACTGGGAGTGATTGCCTGGAAAGATTTTAGGCTCTTTAAGAACAAGTTGGGCAAACATCTTTCTTCAGGAATGGTCTAGATAAAACTCATTCTGTCTAGGGCCAGAGTAGGTAAATACGGCCTTCATTTCTGTGCTTCTGTGATGGATTAATATTTTGAAGAATTTGGAAGGCTGTTTCACAGAGTCCTCCTGGGAAGTGTTATCCTCAAAATACCTTAAACTGATTGAATTGGTCACATTCACCGGTAGTTTCTGGAGTAGTTTAAATGATGAAAATAGGTGTGAAGAGCAATTTCAGGCACCTGGACCAGCAGCAGACTTCTGGGGGAATTCCATCTGTGGGAGACCAGTTGCCACTCAAGAAGGGCATATCCCGCATTTATCTACCAGCCAGTGGCACAAGATGTGCCTAAATGGCTTACAGACCTTCAAATCATAATGTATCTGCAACAGAAAAAGTAGAACATGTATCTTTGAAGGTGGGAAGGTGTCTAGCTGATGGCATGATATCCTCTCAGACTGAAGTATTTCAAAACGTGTTTTTTTTTTTTTTTTGTTATGTCAAATGAGCCTGTCAGAGTGAGATTATTGCATTAATAGAAATCATTGGGTGATTTTCCTTTTGACTTTTTGCATCCAGGCCGTGCTTTGCTGAGGCTCACTGACAAAAAGCTTGAACGAATGGGCATTGCCCAGGAAAACCTGAGACAGCACATTCTGCAGCAAGTCCTTCAGCTGAAGGTGAGGGAAGAAGTCCGAAACCTCCAGTTGCTTACACAAGGTATGAAAAGTAAATTTGATGTGGGCAGCTATTGAGATCAGGTAGGAGATGTTTGTCTGAGGACATAAAAGGTGACTTGGCATTCTCCCACAAGAAATGATGCATGTCTCACAGATTCCACATCCAAACTGAAAACAAAAGGTAAAATAGTGCATAAATAAATAGAGATGTTCAGTTGCCTGTTTTGCACGATAAGATGGTTCCATCTTCAGCTTGATGGTAGTCTTGCTTAAATGCCACCTTGCTGAGATGAAAATAACTATATGCAGAGGGCACTAACAGAGAATGTGCTGTCTTTATCAACATTATACATTTTGCATTAATTGTTTACTTTCATTGTTAAATAAAAGAGTAACTTCTACAACCTATTTTATGGTAAGAGATGTCACTGGAAAAATCAGACTCTGCTTTTTTTGCAGATGGCTGATTCCTTTTCGTGTTGGAGTAATTTTATTGCTTGAATAAGTTGTTTCTAATTTATGCTGGTAACAAAGAGTAAAATTGGGCTCAATATGGAGATCCCTAGAAGGCAGGGAAGAAGGAATAGCAGCAAAGTTTGTGTATGTTTTCAAATAAGGTTAAGACATTTTATAATTACTTGAGTTATTAATTATCCATTAAAGCTTTTTAACTGCTGTGGTAGCATAGAACAAAAGCAGTCATTGTGATGGCACTGTAAAGGAACTTTTAGACATCCTCCAATATATATCTGCAGTAATTTTGCCATGTTCAGCCTTGTTTGGTAGTCCAACAAGATCACATAAACCACACACTTCAGTGCTGTTTGATTCAGTGCCCACTATGTGTCACAGCATATGAAAAAAACCAGGGTTCTTCAGTACATGCAGTATATTTTTAACAAAATGTCCTTCACACATGACATTATGTTCTTGATTAAGTGTTGCTTACTGTATTTGGGGAGAAACTCTCTGATTAGTTGAGTAAACTACATTTTATCTGAAAGAGCCTCCTTCTCAACTGAATTGTTCCTTCAGGCTTGGTTTCATGTGGATTCTGTTGAGGACAGGGTGTAGCTTTAGGGCTCTTTCATATCGCCATGATATGAGAATGCGACCTCACCTCATCTTCTGTCACATCCCAAAGCATGTGTTGCAGCTCCCTTTCACTAGATGTATAGAGCTCTGCCTTTACTCTCCATCCATTATCCCTTTTGTCCCATATTAGCTTGTTCCTGTCCTCCCTTGCATACAGAATGTTGTTTGAGAGTCAGACTAGTAAGGTTTGGTCCACAACCAGCACTGGTTCAGGCCTCCTTACAGAAGTTGGATATGGCACAATGAATATCCACAAACTTTAAGTTTAGGCTACTTGTTCTCTGTTAGTCCAGTTAGGTTTCTCCGTATATTCTGTTTGGTGTTGAGGACTAAATGTTTCCAGGCTTCTTCTTTACTGTTCTTCTTTGGCTCATCTCTGGGGTGGATGCATCAGCTGGTGATGTGAGTCATGAACAGTCAGGCAATTTCCAGGAATTCAGTACAGCTGTTGAGATTTATTCCTCATCCATGCAACTGAGGACACAGGTTTGGGTTATAAGAGCATGAATAAACACATGCTGAATTATGAAGGTCAGATTAGTGATGGATAGCTATCTTCTGCCTTGTACAAATGTGCCTTTAATGAATCACCGAATGGTTGAGGTTGGAAGGGACCGCTAGAGATCATCTAGTTGAACCCCCCTGCTCCAGCAGGGACACCTAGAGCACAGGGCACAGGGTGGCATCCAGGCAGGTTTGGGAGATCTCCAGAGAAGGAGACTCCACAACCTCTCTGGGCAGCCTGTTCCAGGGCTCTGTCACCCTCACAGGAAAGAAGTTCTTCCTCACATGGAGATGGAACTTCCTGTGTTTTAATTTGTACCCATTACCCTTCGTCCAGTCACTGAGCCCACCACAGAGAAGAGTTTGGCCCCATCCTCTTTACATTCTGTCCTCAGGGATTTGTACATATTGATCAGATCTCCTCTCAGTCTTCTCTAGGCTAAACAGGCCCAGCTCGCTTAGTCTTTCCTCATACGATAGATGCTCCAGTCCCTTAATCATCTTTGTTGCTCTACACTGGACCCTCTCTAGAAGCTCCACGTCTCTTGTACTGCAGAGCCCAGAACTGCACCCAATATTCCAGGTGCGGCCTCACCAGAGCTGAGCAGAGGGGCAGGATCCCCTCCCTCCACCTGCTGGCAACATCCTCCTGCTGCAGCCAGGATCCCATTGGCCTTCTTGGCCACGAGGACACATTGCTGCCTCATGGTTAACCTGTTGTCAACCAGGGCTCCCAAATCCCTCTCTGCAGAGCTGCTTTCCAGACCAATGAAGTCTCTCTCTGAAATGTTGAGAGGGTAGTGTTACTTAGTCTGATCAGGTACAGTTGTGCCATCATTTGATTTCTGAAAGTGGGTACAAGTTACCTAAAGCTGGTGGACTGCAGCACTTGCTCACTTCCTCCATAAGAGCCCAGCACTCAGAGGTGAAGGTGCTGAGCTGCACAACAGTCCCCATAATGTTCTCCTGTGCAGCAGACCTATCTACATCGTATGATCCCCAAAGCAGGGAAAGGATTGGTAGGGTGGCAGCACTGTTCCTGGCCCTTATTGCCTCATTTATACCACACCAGAGTGTGTATCAGTTAAAAGTGCAAGTACGAAGGTTAGGATGTAATTTATCACCTGCAGTGCAGTCCAGAAAGCTTTGTGAATGTCTCTGAGAGAGGTTCTGTCTCCTTGGCCAGTTTCTTCATGCAGTGTCCACACTTACTACGACTTATGCATTCCTAATCAAGGCTGTAATTAGAATAACTTCCTTTTAGTGCTTTTCTATTTAAGACAACACTTTTTCTCTATGCAGTAATGCATTTGCATGCCAGCAATTTCTGTGTTTTGGAAATTACATTTGCAATATACAGCTCACAGTGCAGCCATGGTCTTTTATGTATTTTTTTCCAATTTTGGAGGACATTTTGGAGGACAACATATAGATCAGTGCCCAGCTCAGGAGATCTTTAAGTCAAAAAGACAGTTAACAAACCCTTTCTGAATTCATTTAGTGCACGTGCTCGCTTGCAGGCAGTGAGGTCATAACTCAGAGCACACTGATGTCACTGGAAAGGCTTCAACTGACTTCAGTTCATAACCTGATTGAGCCTAGAGTGAACACTGAAGATTTTAAAAAGGTATTACATAATACTTATCAGATATTTTAGGCGTTTTTGTGGTCTATTGTTCAGAGAGAAAGTTAACCTCATTAAAAAAAAATCTCTCTATGCAAACCAGAGAAATAACATTCTCTTTTACTCCTATTTTAGAAAATTACTTTAAACTATTTCATTTTACTTCTTCATTCAGGATACAACAAGCTGTCTGTTCTGGAGATCTTAAAGCTGGAATAGTATGTGCTTGTGTAACTGACGACCCATCTTGAATTTTAGGAAGTCTTTTCTTAGGACTAAGAACTGCTGGATTGGGGCCTGCTTGAGGCTGTTACCAGGATAAATGCTGTTCCAACCTCTACCCGGGTAGAAGGGCACAGACCCAGCTACTGATCTGTGCTTCTTTCCAGGAGACTTAGTGAAGCTGAGGAACTAATTGGACAAAATATTTTCCAGAATCTCATAGGGAGAGCTTCACACTTTTGGAAACATTGTTATTGTACAGTTTCCATTCTAATCCTGGGCTGGAAGATCATCACAAAAAAAAATAAAAAAGCTTTACATAACTACACAGGGAGGAAGTTATTTTGGGATTTTCAATATGCGCCTTGCTTTTGGCTAGCATAGGAGGAGAGTGTCTGTCCTCAAAGTGGCAGAGCGTGATTCTGAGTCCAGAGACAGGAACCTGCTAATAGGGCTGAGGTTATGACGCACATTTGGATTTGGGATCATAGCTGCATTTAAGATGACACCGGCCATCCTAATCTTCTCTGAAAGCTTCTAACGAGGCAAAGTGCTACTTGTGTATACAGCCAGCTCACAGATAGTGGCATTTTATTCAGGAAGATTTCTTCTGCTTGCAAACTGTGTTAGAATAAGGCTTTAAGCTATTAAAAAGCCTCACAGCTGTTGATACCAATTGACATGCTTCATTCAGTAAGTTTTCTGTTCATCCTGCACTGGTGCTTGGCTACTGGAAAACATATCCACACAGTTATAACACAAACATTTTCCTTCAGTTTCTTAAATAGTCCTATTCAAAAGCTACTGTAGTAGTGTAGCATTGTATTCCTCCGGGGAATTAACAGGAGAACATTCAAGATTAATCTCATCTTTTGAGGAAGGAGGAACTAGTGATGGATGGCTCACTAGGTTCTTCACTTTGTAAAATAAACTTGTAACTAGAAACTCTGCCTTCAGGGTGGATCTGGTCAGAAAAAAATGGGCCATCAAAAAAACCCTTCTCAAACACGTTAGAAGGAATTTTGCATTATTAGCAGCATCTTTACAGTAGCATGATCAAGCAAAGAAAATTTCAGCTGTTTGGTGCTGGACTCTCACAGGCTGTCAGAAACATTACCCTAGTTCCTGTTCACCTTGTCTGTTTCTTCCATGTAAATAGTGAGGATGGAAAAAAGTTGAACATTGCCCTCCTAGCCTCCATCATCATGCTTGAGGAGGTTCGCCGTATCTTTCCATAACAAAAGCCTCCGAGTACTGGACTCCCTCCACCTTCTGAATTCCCACATGTGAAGAAGATCTTCCCTGTTGGGCTGCCTCAAGTGCACAGCAGTGACTGGGAATTACTCACCTGCCTAAACAGGCACTCGAGTCATCAGAAAACTGGAGAACACGAGACCCTGCGAAACAGAGAAATGGAAGGTCATTTCAATTTCAGGAGATTCCAGCTGTTCTCTGTCAACTGTGTGGTCCTTCTAGATACATCTGTATCTCAACTATCCTTGCCTGCTGTTTCTCATGTCTCCTGAGACGGGTCACCTGAGATCAGGGCATTTCTTTGTCAACCCTGCAAAGAAGTAGTAACTGAAGTTTGTGAT